GTTTTGCCCTTCCAAACTGCTACTAGCCGGAACAAGCTGGACATAGTCCGTCGATGCCAGAGTAGGCAACGACGTCATCTACCTGGATTTCTCCGAAGCGTTCAATCGCCTGGACCGCCGCATTGCCCAGCACAGGCTTCGAAGCTACGGAATCTGTGACCCCTTGCTGGGTTGGACAAACAAATTCCTCATTCAACTTCAGCTGAATGTGAGAGCCCACAGTTCCATTTCCGATCCAATTGACGTCCAGAGTGGAGTTCCCCACGCATCGGTACTGGGGCCACTTTTATTCCAAGTAGTAATTAATGAATGGCTAATGTACTGCAGTCGAATTTCTTAAAATTATCAGATGAGGTCAACATTTGGCCTGACATCTGGACAGTGGATGATTACATGGCATTGCAGAACGATCTCGACAGGGCTTATGTGTGGTCATCTGGTAATGTGCTCCAGTTCAACGGAGCGAAATGCAAAGTCGTGAGCATATGCCATCAGCTCACCCATGAATATCGACTTGAGGACCAACGTGCTTACTAGGAAAGTGGCCTAGGAGGACTCGGACAGGATGAATTTGGCGGCTCGAAACAGGCCGAATAGGTATCGAAAAGAGCCAGTCAATATCTCGAACTCTTACGGAGAGCTTGAGGAAGTTCGAACTATCGATTTTCCGCAATTGCTGAACAATTACGTGAGGCCGCACGTGGAATATGCGATTCAGGCCTGGCGTCCCTGGCGTAGGCGCGACGTCGACTCACATGAAGCGCCACAACGTAGAGGGACCAAACTCGTCAGAGGATTATTTCACCTCCCCTACCTGCGCAGGCTGCAAGGCTCGTGATTATACATTGGTGTATATCGATGTCAGCGAGGAGACTTTATCATGGTTTACTTATGATTAACGAACCCATATCAAGGCTGTCGCGACCTATTGCAGCTGAGCCAAAATACCAAACTGAGAGGCCACCGGCTCAAACTGGCCACATACTACCGTCGACCTGGATGTCGACAAAACTTTTTCGCCCTTCGGATATCCCAAACATGGAACGCCCTCCCAACTCACATCATCCTTGCCCCTACACTAATGTTTTCATAAACTGTATTGATGACACTTTCCCATTCGCTTTAGTTGGCGTGATTCGTTTTGCTCGAAGGAGGAAGTAACGCGAACCAATCTATGTCCTTAACGACCCTCTCTACCATGTGGCTGTTAGGAAACCTTCATCAGTGTTCAAGTGAATAGGTTGGATGTATCCAAACTGGATTTGCGTACTACATCGGTCCAGTGCAGTGTCACACCGACCAAGTGAACTATAAGTGCTCCCTATATTACTGTGTGTGTGTGTGTGTGCGTGTGTGTGCACATTCAACTCCCATTGCAAATTATCGTTACGCAGCATCGCAGTTAACTCGGTGGAGGCTTAAAGTAACGATTTGCTTTTCCGTTGATTTTTTACTTTTTCACTCCAACTGTCTTACACAGCTTGTCAAGCACGTGCTTTTTGATCCGTGATGAATCCTTCTTCACTGTTCATTAAAATCACTCTCAAAAGAACATAAAATAGGTTCTACAATCACAATTGATGCCACTGACAGTGCTTAAGCACCCAGCACAATGCATTCCTATTACCACCAATTAATGGGAAAGCGTTAAACGTTAGCCTACGTCAAACTGAATGAGTGAAAATGAGTACAAAGGGAAACACAGTCTCAAAAACGGTTGTTGAATTATCCAAAGAAACTATACTAGTTAAACGGGGATCGAAAGTTCCAGTGATCTAAGTGCTGGATTGGGGTGACCACTGTCACTTCACCTTAAAGAATGTTGTTAATCGCAAAAATCGAGTTCCTTTCTATCATTCAATTAATGTAAGTTTTCGGTAATCAGGACATTCATCTGCCCGCTTTGTGTTGACCAATTGCTGTTGTTGACAAGTTTTGGGTCAATGGCTTGTTTCCTGATTATCTACAGTGTTTATATTATGTCAGCAGTCCATATGCATAAGCATTTTCAAAATACCCGATACATTTGGATTCAATAAAACCGCTATTTGCACATTACAAACTTAGGGGGGAATGGACTGTGAAGAAGTGAGTATGGTGGGTGTCTTTATTCTAAACCGCAGATGATTACTAACTTGTTCAACTTTTGTACTGTTCACCGAGCTGAACAGTTTCGTTGCAAACATTACATCACCAATCGTGGTGGCTTCTTCAGCGCGTTATAAGCAAACTGAGTTGTTTTGTCCATTCTTACCGACGAGCGAGTGACATTTGAATTTGCTCACTTCGATTCAGGTCCCGTGACAATTGCTAGTTCCCAGTTCGAGCATCGTCTCTTTCCGACTCATGTGCTAGATGATCCACGTAAACTCTTTTCTCGCAGCTGCCTGTATATCGGATCTAAATCGATGCGTTGGTTTATTGAACTGACTGTAGAAAACCAGGCTTCAAGGAATTCTCTCCCTTTTTTGGTCACTGCTTGCGCTAGTATCTCCGTTTTTCCCAATCAACTATGTTCCCTTCTTCATCAACGTGTGTCGAGACCAAGGATGCTGGGTAATGGTTTCGACAGGCTCGTTTGTGTTCTTGTAGTCTTGTAGACAATTTTCTTCCCGTTTGACCCACATAGTTCTTATCGCAATTTTTACACTTTTTCCTGTAAATAATGTTTCGGCGTTCGTGTGCTGTCGTGTTCCCCTTCGGTCTAAAGAGGGTTCCTTTCAAAGTATTGGTGGGTATGTAAGCGAATAACAGATGGTGTGGCTTGAGGAGTCTAGCAGTCAATTCTGATACGTTCTTAATGTATGGCAAAGCGATCTGTTTCGTTGTTCTTGGTTCAGGTGTGGTATTTGAACCCCTGTATTTTATGTATCTTGGATGAATCTGCGTGGATATACATTGCGCATGAATGATGTAAACGAATGGCTGTCTATTTCGCGTCATGCTTCTGCACTATTACGATGCGATTTTATCCTGCGGAACAAGGTGGGTATGCAGCTGATTTTGTGACATTTTGGATGGTTGCTGTTGAAATTTAAGCTTTGATCTGTGTGTGTCTTTCCTGTAGACTGATGTTTGCAGTTCTCCGTCCGCTGTTCTAGTAACCAATACATCCAAGTAAGCAGTTTGTTTTACATTTCTATCTCCATAGTGAAATGAATAGCGACCATTGCATCGTTCAGTAGGCTTTGTGCCATCTGCAACTGACTGAGTTTGAGTATGACTAACGTGTCGTCAACATATCTGACCCACAACTTCGGATTCTTGACTGGGAGTAGATTTTCTTCTAACGTTTGCATGACAACCCCCGCAATGAGTCCAGATATAGGTGATCCCATTGGGGCTCCTTTCACTTGTTCATAGAATGCTCCATCGAATTTAAAGTAGGTCGTGGGACACAAGTCAAGAAGCTCGCATATGCTATCAGTCGTATGATCCCCAATTGCTCCTCTGATGTTTTCTTTCGCCACTTGTATGTTGACAGTAGTGAACAGTGCAGTAACGTCGAAGGAAACCATTATTTCTTCATGATCAATCCGCAGCCCTTTGAGTTTCTCCAAAAACTGCTGAGCGTTGTTTATGGAATACTGCGAGCCACTAATCAGGTGTTTAAGGCGCCTGCATAATTATTTTGCTAAGTTATAGGTAGGCGTACCAGGGAGTGACACGATTGGCCGAAGTGGTCCACCAGTTTTGTGTACCTTCGGAAGTCCGTAGAATCGGGCGATGTTTGAGTCACGAGCTTTCATCCTGCTGTGCTTCTCCTTTGTCAGTTGCTTTGAGTCCTGAAGTCTTTTTAAGGTCTTATTAATTTTATTTGTCATTTGTACTGTTAGCTTGCTTTCTAGGCATCGGTATGTTGTACGGTCGCTTAGGAGATTCTTTGTCTTTTCAATGTATTCTGTTTTATCCATTAAAACACACATACGTCCTTTATCCGCAGGCAGGATCACGATGGTTTCATCAGTCTTTAAAGATCTGATTGATTTTTGCTCTTGCCGTGATAGACAATTTTGTTGCTTGGTGTAGGTTAGAATAGGAACAACCGCAAGTCTTAACTGTGTTTTCGTCTCTTCGTCAAAGTCATTGAATTGCCAAACGGGAAGAAAATTGTCTACAAGACTACAAGAACACAAACGAGCCTGTCGAAACCATTACCCAGCATCCTTAGTCTCGACACACGTTGATGAAGAAGGGAACATAGTTGATTGGGAAAAACGGAGATACTAGCGCAAGCAGTGACCAAAAAAGGGAGAGAATTCCTTGAAGCCTGGTTTTCTACAGTCAGTTCAATAAACCAACGCATCGATTTAGATCCGATATACAGGCAGCTGCGAGAAAAGAGTTTACGTGGATCATCTAGCACATGAGTCGGAAAGAGACGATGCTCGAACTGGGAACTAGCAATTGTCACGGGACCTGAATCGAAGTGAGCAAATTCAAACGTCACTCGCTCGTCGGTAAGAATGGACAAAACAACTCAGTTTGCTTATAACGCGCTGAAGAAGCCACCACGATTGGTGATGTAATGTTTGCAACGAAACTGTTCAGCTCGGAGAACAGAACAAAATCTGAGCAAATCACCCGAGCTTCAGGTATTCCGCTTTATTGCTGATTGCTAGCTTTTCTAACGATTGAGACAACGTGACTGCTATGACGAGAAACTCAGGTGTTCCTTATCGCATTCGATAATGATGAGCTTTTAACAAGTACCCATTCCATCGCAACCGCAATAACGACGATGGATTTCTAGACGCCTCCACAATGACACCGTAAGATCGGTGCACAATTTATTATCATCTGTGTGAGGGGCACTGTGCACTGAATGGCCCCGTTAGGTTTTAGACTAAATTCAAAACTTTTTTAATTCAAACAAAATTATTACATCCATCTATTCACTGGTTGGTCATGAGTTACGATTTTCCATTTTTTACTTCCGTCATCGCCCAGTTGATGGTAAAATATTCCATGTGGTTTGATCTCATTCACAATTCCTTTCTATGTGCTTGCAGGAACGAAACAGAGGCAATGAAACGGTCAATTTTGTCTACCTGACTCATGTCATTAATAAGGTTACTCTGGATAACTATGATGGTGGGTGTGACGATTATAACAAAGACCCGCTATCAGCTGCACACAGCTGTGTGTCTACTCAGGCGGGAGTGTGATAAGCGTTTTCCTTCAAGTGGAAGCGGAACAAATGACCAAACCAATCCCATTTCAATCTTGACAGGTCGATTAGCACGGCTACACTTTGGACTGTTGTGGGAGCAGCGCTTGAGCGGACGGTCGCCTGTCCCATGTAGGTCAACACAAACGAACCGTCTGATGGGTAAACTTGGCAGAGACCGATCAATTCAATGTACATAACTCGGATCGAAACTTTCAACAATTTGTTATCTACTGCAACCATAACGGAATTAACTTGGTGCTATACAACACCAGCTGAAGTCACGTAATTGGTTTGTAATAAGCAGATTCGTTAAATAATTGTTTAGTTCCACAGGACATACAAATTGCGGGGAAACGACTTCTACCGACGCCCGTCAGTTCCGAATGGGATCAGAATGACCTAAATCTTTAAGCTTGCTCTCATTTTTGACCACTTACTCAACGAGCGGTTTGAAATATCCAACTCCTATGAGGTGTAACTGCAATATCTTGTACAAAAGTACACATTTAATGCGTCGGTATCCAGAAATAAAGCATCAGATTTCGTGCAACCATTCGTTTCTTGATACATTATCAGCTGGTACAATAACACAGAAAAGGCGTAATGGGTCATTTTTTGTTCCTTTTCAAGGGTCCGATGTACGTAATCTTACTGATGCGCAATCTCAATTGCAAATGCAATAATTTTACAGGTGAATGCCTGCACTGTGAAAGAAGCGGAGCATAGAAACGACCAACGAACACCTAGTTGTTGCAATGAGAGTTGATTATATTCGTTTACTATTGAATCAGCTGCGAAGGTGCTGTAAACCATCATCAAAGTAACCGCGTATATGCACAAAGATGGAAACGGCCGGTGACAAGTTGCAGCTAATTACACTCAGAAATGCCGACCAACTATCAAGGAACAAAACAGTCTATTCATTGTCTGTGTCCAAAAACAAGGAATGCAAGTCATAAGACGACATCTTTTACCTATGTTAACTTGTTGTCATTAAGATTACGGGGCTATCTTGATTTTGCTTTACCTTAACTATCTACGATTCTAGCTTCGACGGTAGACGCTGCTACATTAGGTTGCTGTGGTTAGTTTAGGAAAGACAGTTATCTGTTCAGTTAAACTTTTGTTCGCTCGTTTTTCCCGGTTAACACTGCGTTAACGATTTAGTGTAATATTCCGCACTAGTAGAACACGTAATCGACCTGAAGCTTGTTCAAACACTGAGGTTTGCATATCAATCAGGTAAGAGCGTGAGTCTGAGATGAAGGTGGATTGACCTCAGCCGCCCAGCAACCAGTCCAGCACGTAGGAAACGCGTCGACATACAGGGTGGTGCCGGATAACTACGCCTAATCGGATAGAGAGCTGCAACGCAAAAACACGCGCACGTAATGGACTCGGTGTTAGGTGCGTAAGCAAGAATACACACACGTGAACACACAACCATTGCCTTTCATTCGCACTGCTCAGCCTCCTCGAATGTGCAAATTTATGCATTTTCATCTGTTCAAAGCGGCAAACTTCCAGCTGAAATGCATGCGTGCGTATGATGTGCTGCAAGCTGATGGCCAAATATGCTACAAGAAACACAGTGATCAATGATGCGTACAAGTCCGAACACTTTTCCTCGGTGTCACTGGCACCTACGGAACCACACTTGTTTCTTTTTATGTATTCGGCTTTTGTGTGCATAAGCCCATCTTTACTCACCAGGTCGTGGTGATTATCGTGCATTGTGCCACAAATCTGCATTTTGAGAGACTAAATGTGAAGTCTGCACTATTTCCGCCAACACTTGTTGAGGTCACATAGAGAGTTAGCGAAGTGATGCTAAAGTTGGCCGAGAAGACTGTGGCAGCTAAAGCCCCATAAATCGGTTCCTTGCGGTCTACATGTAGGACTTTTACATTCGCCTAACGCACACTTGCTTGCACTTTGCTACTCATTGCGTTATATCCTGGAAGCACGCACATTAGACCAAACTCATTTAATAGAAACCCTGGAGGACACCTGTACATTCGTGATCATTCAGGCAAGAAGAATAGCGTGAAGCAGTGTCAACATAAGAGGGTACCCAGTATATTAAAGGAGGTTAACTTATCCAGCGCTTCGATTAGGCGCGGGACTCCACGTCCCATTTCAAAAACAAGCTACCAACCCGTTGTTTTCCGAAAAAGTATGTAGTTTCTATTGTAAGGAGCCGAACATACGAAGTGCATCACACACAAACTAAATGACATCTGTTTGTGTGGAGCCGTTTTAGTTACATTGAACACGTAAGGTATTTGAGGTTAGTAAACCTAATACCCAAGACATTTTGGCCAAAAGTACCAACCAAGAGCGTGGTTCCTGGCAATTGGCGATGAACGGATGCAGATCCGAATGTGAAAGATTTCATCGCCTATGCGGATCACTCTCATCCAAACTCGGGGTTAGCCTGCACTTAACGCAAGTTGCTCATATTAATCTTCACTAAAAATTATAAGAGCTTGTGTAGTCCCCAAATTGAACTATTCTGTTGTGTGACAAAAATTTAGTCGGGATTACCTGATTACGCTTAACTAACTCGCGGTCCTCCTAATCGCTAAGAAACGTATAGCATTTACGCATAAGAAAAGTATTATTGTCTTCTCAATGCCTCGTACACGCAATGGATTCTCCCTTATTCAAGTTGTCCAAGTAGCAATGCGTATTCTCTCATTCCATTCTGAGGCAGTACTGAGTAGGACCAAAATGTCTACTAATGAAGTCAAGGTAGCACAACTGTAGTCAGCGAGAAGATGAACTAGAATCGAGAGCTGCTACACATTTCTATCAATATACAATGCAACTATGCTGGTGTACCATTTAAACAGGGCTCACCGAATAGGCCAAAGGGGCCAAGAATTGGACCATTTCACATGGTAGCTGGTTAGCCTGACATTTCCAGGTTAATATGATACCAGTGCAGAAATCACCATGTCGCACCATCCATGAACTGTCTGGATGTAAGTATCCCTTGCAGCTTAAAATACGTACAAAAGTTTTCGTCTGATAATCTTTAGCTGGTCAGAGATAATATAAAGCGACTGCGTAAGCTGTTTGAATGATATCATGCTTATTAGACTGTCTCATTCAGCACAACAACAGAATCAGTGTTAGCGTCTCTTTCGACTCTACCAATTTGTGGATGTTGCAGAAACCATTATGGCTCATAACTCGGATCACCGAAGGCACCTTGCAGGTCATTGTGTGTCGTCGGTGATTTGAACAATTGCAACAGAGGTTTGGTCAAAAGACGTGGCATATTGGATTACTCGAACACCTAATCCGGGTTTGGATACAATCACCTCTTGGATCGGAAGCCTCCCTAGCCTAATACATGCGCAACTGAATTGGCTTAAGTGTGCCGGCAAGACCACTGTCGCAAAGTTGCTTGATCATTTTTCACACGTTTACCTAGAGCAGTATCACTGTTAGCACACATGCAATGCAACACTTGAACATTTGTTCACGCATTTCGAAAGAATTTGCAGACAAAATATAGAAACACGAAAGCCGAAAGCATGTGCAGTCAAGCACACGCGCATACAGAATGACAAATGTTTATTCTACCCGCGGGCTCGTCACGTCCTCGTCTCTATCGAATGTTTGCTTTTAGATGACTTTCTATTGGGCGATGTTTCGCAACAGAAAGCAACATTTTGATTCAGGTGAAATAGTTTACACAAGCGTCTGTTCAAGTCCTATTTGTTTCAATTGCAAAAGTTCGCTTTGTTTTGCTTTTTCATTGTATCTGTGTGTCAATTCCGTTCCATATCACTGGAGCTAAAACTTGTTATATCTTTCCGATAAGTATATGACTGCTGCTTAGGTGTTGGATGAATCCATCTGACACTTTTAACTGAAGGATCTGTGTGGTTGGAAGCCTGACACCCAGGATACAGATTGCAAAGTTTAGAGAGAGTTGCGATCAGAATGGTACACCTACGTAGCAGAAACATCACATTTGTAGTTAACCGGCTCTTAGTTTAAGATGGCCCAGATTAGTCGGTCCAGACCAGTTGCAAGAGTAAGCAGTTTAAGGAAGTATACAGATCCCCAGGAAATTGCAACATATTACGAGGTGAATACCACTCCTTCAGATGGGTGGTTAACGGTAACCAGTTGCCACATCCTGATTCATTCTGGTAACTTCAGCTGCTGCGATTGCCCAACTGACGTCGTAATGGGTCACAATGAAAACCCATTGTGGTTTTTGAATGGAGCCAGTTACCACAAACTAACATACCGGGTCCGCCGAGTAAGCTACTTGGTACAGAATTTAGCATGTAGCTAAAAATTTGCTCAGCTTAAAAAGTCTCTCAATTTTCGAAAATGAACGATAAACCAATCCATCAATCTGCCTTTTCAAGTTGTGAAAATATCACAGTTTCTCAGAAATTCTTGACTTCATTTCAAGTATCATACAAGTTCAAAGCGGAGGAAGTAAAAAATTCCACCTTTATCCATTGATGCGTGGAATACTTGTATAGGCTAGTCGAGCTGTAAATATCAAGACCAGCAACTTGTGATTAGAAAACACACTTAACAGCTCTGTCATGTGTTGCTTTCCCGCCAACATCAAAACAGCCTGGGTAATTAGTAGATACTTAACGGTGGATAATGTTCCGTACTCGATTTGCTTTTAGTCCCCAAATAATCAACAGTCTCAGATATACTTATGCCAACTGGAGTAATTTAGTTCAAAAAATCCGGGAACAATTTATCGGTCAGTTCAGACACTTCTAACATGATGTTTATTAGCATGGCTAATCTGGTCATGCATATGCCACCCAGGTTTTCGAACCTTTTCGTCCGTCAAACCTTTGATGTCTCCGTCGCCGTGCGGTTGATTGACCGAACAACTGGACGGTTTGAATGAGCCGCCAGGTTTTCCTTATCTTTTTCTTACCCGCATACACACTTTCGATAATGCTTTGTTCAGCTACGATTCTAGTCACTGGAATTCCCCATTGGCTAAACTGCTGTGTGTGGTGCTTTTGGGTCTGTTCGGATAGCACGTAATTCTTCAAGCACCCTGTCTGCCACATGGACTGTGACCGAAACATGATTACACTTTCATTCACGACAAAACCGACTATCAAGTAGTGCCGTGCAAATTTCTGGTTCGTGTAAGTTGACGCGTATCTTTTTGGAAATACCCCCCCCCCCTATGTATGGGTCGACGAATCGGTGTTTACTTCCTCCAAATTCACATGGGGGTGGAATTTCATGTGTTGAGGAAAATTCGAAGCACACCTGGGCAAAGCGGTATGTTTTGTTGTATGCATAACACACGGTGCGACGTAGTCACGGTATGAAACTCAGCACAGACAAACCATAATTAGTGAAAATATCGTGTCCGTATATTCATTTG